ATGTGTTTTCATTTGTCTTTATTTACATTTCGTCAAGTCGTTCTGGAAGTCGGTGTTCGCCGTGTTGAGGAAATAAACTTTCAGCATCAGAACAAAAGGAAACTTTGTAGCAACCAAAACATCCCATTCTTCTAGAAGCATCATGACATAAAAAAAACTACTGAAATTAAGATGAAATCATTTTCAAAAATAATTTAGAATAAAAAACATGTGAAGATACAGCAGCTTCAACTCAGAAGAATCTTAAACATCTGCTGCAAAGACTGAGATACAGAGAGACAGAGAGAAGAGGAAGAAGTGGGAGAAAAGAGAAAGAGACAAGAGGAGGAGAGAGATGAGTGAAAGAGGAGAAGAAGAGAGAGGGAAAGGGAGGAGGAAAAGGAGAAAGAGAGAGGAGGAGAAGAGTTGACATTACAGTAAACTGGTTTGGTTTTGTGACACATCAGGAGCTTTTTACCAAAACACATAGATCTTGATCCCTCTCTCTCCATCTCTCTCTCTGTCTCTCTCTCCATCTCTCTCTCTCCATCTCTCTCTCTCCATCTCTCTCTCTCCATCTCTCTCTCTCCATCTCTCTCTCTCCATCTCTCTCTCTCCTCAAGTGAGGAAAAACAGAAATAAGTCGTGTCAGTTTTTACACATTTACAAAGACAGCGGTGTTCCAGGCTGTGGACGTGACCAGAGTGAGACCGAGGCGCTGTCCTTCACGAGGACTTTCCGTCAAAGTAGGAGGTCTCGATGCGGCGGCAGAAGGAGAGGAGGTTACTGTAGCTCTTGACCCGCTCAGCCAGATCTGTGCTGGTCAGACGAGTGGTCAGGATGGTGAAGAGGTGACCGAACACCAGGGCATCCAGCTCTGTGGGCCTGAGAACATATGACAGACTGTACAGTGTGTGTCCACTAGGGGGAGCGTGTCCACAGTTCAAAGGACACATCTACATTTTCATGCACAGACGTACATGGTTCTCATGGTTCTCATGCACAGACATACATGGTTCTCATGCACAGACATACATGGTTCTCATGCACAGACGTACATGGTTCTCATGCACAGACATACATGGTTCTCATGCACAGACGTACATGGTTCTCATGCACAGACGTACATGGTTCTCATGCGCAGACGTACATGGTTCTCATGGTTCTCATGCGCAGACGTACATGGTTCTCATGGTTCTCATGCGCAGACGTACATGGTTCTCATGGTTCTCATGCGCAGACGTACATGGTTCTCATGCACAGACGTACATGGTTCTCATGCGCAGACGTACATGGTTCTCATGCGCAGACGTACATGGTTCTCATGCGCAGACGTACATGGTTCTCATGCGCAGACGTACATGGTTCTCATGCGCAGACGTACATGGTTCTCATGCGCAGACGTACATGGTTCTCATGCGCAGACGTACATGGTTCTCATGGTTCTCATGCACAGACGTACATGGTTCTCATGGTTCTCATGCGCAGACGTACATGGTTCTCATGCGCAGACGTACATGGTTCTCATGCGCAGACGTACATGGTTCTCATGCGCAGACGTACATGGTTCTCATGCGCAGACGTACATGGTTCTCATGCGCAGACGTACATGGTTCTCATGCGCAGACGTACATGGTTCTCATGCGCAGACGTACATGGTTCTCATGCGCAGACGTACATGGTTCTCATGCGCAGACGTACATGGTTCTCATGCGCAGACGTACATGGTTCTCATGCGCAGACGTACATGGTTCTCATGCGCAGACGTACATGGTTCTCATGCGCAGACGTACATGGTTCTCATGCGCAGACGTACATGGTTCTCATGCGCAGACGTACATGGTTCTCATGCGCAGACGTACATGGTTCTCATGCGCAGACGTACATGGTTCTCATGCGCAGACGTACATGGTTCTCATGCGCAGACGTACATGGTTCTCATGCGCAGACGTACATGGTTCTCATGCGCAGACGTACATGGTTCTCATGCGCAGACGTACATGGTTCTCATGCGCAGACGTACATGGTTCTCATGCGCAGACGTACATGGTTCTCATGCGCAGACGTACATGGTTCTCATGCGCAGACGTACATGGTTCTCATGCGCAGACGTACATGGTTCTCATGCGCAGACGTACATGGTTCTCATGCGCAGACGTACATGGTTCTCATGCGCAGACGTACATGGTTCTCATGCGCAGACGTACATGGTTCTCATGCGCAGACGTACATGGTTCTCATGCGCAGACGTACATGGTTCTCATGCGCAGACGTACATGGTTCTCATGCGCAGACGTACATGGTTCTCATGCGCAGACGTACATGGTTCTCATGCGCAGACGTACATGGTTCTCATGCGCAGACGTACATGGTTCTCATGCGCAGACGTACATGGTTCTCATGCACAGACGTACATGGTTCTCATGCACAGACGTACATGGTTCTCATGCACAGACGTACATGGTTCTCATGCACAGACGTACATGGTTCTCATGCGAACAGGTTCTCATGACGTACATGGTTCTCATACACAGACGTACATGGTTCTCATGCACAGACGTACATGGTTCTCATGCACAGACGTACATGGTTCTCATGCGCAGACGTACATGGTTCTCATGCGCAGACGTACATGGTTCTCATGCGCAGACGTACATGGTTCTCATGCACAGACGTACATGGTTCTCATGCACAGACGTACATGGTTCTCATGCACAGACGTACATGGTTCTCATGCACAGACGTACATGGTTCTCATGCACAGACGTACATGGTTCTCATGCACAGACGTACATGGTTCTCATGCACAGACGTACATGGTTCTCATGCACAGACGTACATGGTTCTCATACACAGACGTACATGGTTCTCATGCACAGACGTACATGGTTCTCATGCACAGACGTACATGGTTCTCATGCACAGACGTACATGGTTCTCATGCACAGACGTACATGGTTCTCATGCACAGACGTACATGGTTCTCATGCACAGACGTACATGGTTCTCATGCACAGACGTACATGGTTCTCATGCAGACGTACATGGTTCTCATGCACAGACGTACATGGTTCTCATGCACAGACGTACATGGTTCTCATGCACAGACGTACATGGTTCTCATGCAGACGTACATGGTTCTAACCCTCTATAGTACAGTAATGTAACGTACTGTTTGTTGAAGAAGAAGGGCTGAGTCCCGAGTCGCTGAGACAGAGCCTGGCAGCACTGGCTCACCTCCTCATACACCTGCGGACCATCAACATACACCATCAACATACACCTGCGGACCATCAACATACACCATCAACATACACCTGCGGACCATCAACATACACCATCAACATACACCTGCGGACCATCAACATACACCATCAACATACACCTGAAGACCATCAACATACACCATCTACATACACATGCGGACCATCAACATACACCTGCGGACCATCAACATACACCATCAACATACACCTGCGGACCATCAACATACACCATCAACATACACCTGCGGACCATCAACATACACCTGAAGACCATCAACATACACCATCTACATACACATGCGGACCATCAACATACACCTGCGGACCATGGAGCACACAGACAGACACAGACCCACACACACAGAGCCACACACACACAGACACACAAAGACACACACAAAGACACACACCTGTTCCAAAGACTTGTCTCCCCAGCCGATGGCGGCCATCTTGCGCCGCACCTCCCACTGCTTCTGATAGGCCAGCAGCGAGCACAGGGGCCAGGCGTAGGGGCTGCTGTATCTGGGACGAGAGATCTGCAGGAGACACACAACTCTTTATGTGTCGCACTAAACGGTCGTTATCTCAGAGGAAAGCTGCTGATTCACCAACACAGATTAGAGAATCAAACAGTTTCCACAGAGACAGGTCCAAACGTGTTGTTTATTTAACAATGACTTTTCCATTACATCTTTGGATATTTTTACTTTCTAAGCTCTTCATAAATTTCCTTTACCTCGAAAGTCACACTTTTTGTTACATCTTTTTTTGATACTGGAGAGAAACTAACATCCAAACTGAAATGAACATGTCAAAATACAAAAATATCTAAAAAAAATAGATAAAATAAAAGAAAGGCACTTTTACACTGTGGCGCTCACCTCTGCAGCTGTGGCGTCGTCGCACCACTGGATGTACAGCTGCAGAAGAAGAAAAACAGATTTCAACCCGACGAGAAAATGTTGTAAATTGTAGCTTGTTTTTAATATTGGGCACAGGTTACCAACATGCATTAATAATACAGTTTTAATGCAAAAGTAGGTACCCCAGCTTTAGTGTGTGTCTGTGTGACAGAGTGTGTGTCTGTGTGAGTGTGTGTGTGTTACCTCTGCTGTCAATAAGCGATTATTGACCAGCTCCATGTAGGCCTTCATCTCCGCCCTCTGCAGGTCGTCCAGGCCGTCGCTCAGAGAGTGGCCCTGGAACACACACACAACTCAGACATTACACACACAGAGAGTGGCCCTGGAACCCACACACAACTCAGACATTACACACACAGAGAGTGGCCCTGGAACACACACATATATGTAATTGCTTTATTTATTCATGTTTGTGGTATGAGAGGTCTTGGTTTAGGTGCACTACCATCTACATCCAGCAGGGGGCGCACCTCACCTCGTCACCATCACTTTAGAAAGAGCTGCTGCAGTTTTTCTTATGAGTCTTTTTGGGAATCATTAAAAAGTTAAAGATGTACCTTTGCTTTGGTGAACTGCACGATGGGCCCCAGCTCAGACACCACCTGGTTCCCCACATGGATGAACGGGATCTTCCCTGCAGGAGTCACAGTCAGATGAGGAGTCACAGTCAGAGGAGGAGTCACAGTCAGAGGAGGAGTCACAGTCAGAGGAGGAGTCACAGTCAGAGGAGGAGTCACAGTCAGAGGAGTCACAGTCAGAGGAGGAGTCACAGTCAGAGGAGTCACAGTCAGAGGAGGAGTCACAGTCAGAGGAGGAGTCACAGTCAAAGGAGTCACAGTCAGAGGAGTCACAGAGGAGTCACAGTCAGAGGAGTCACAGGAGGAGGAGGAGTCAGAGTCAAAGGAGTCACAGTCAGAGGAGTCACAGGAGGAGGAGGAGGAGTCAGAGTCAAAGGAGTCACAGTCAGAGGAGTCACAGTCAGAGGAGTCACAGTCAGAGGAGTCACAGTCAGAGGAGTCACAGAGGAGTCACAGTCAGAGGAGTCACAGGAGGAGGAGTCAGAGTCAAAGGAGTCACAGTCAGAGGAGTCACAGGAGGAGGAGGAGTCAGAGTCAAAGGAGTCACAGTCAGAGGAGTCACAGTCAGAGGAGTCACAGAGGAGTCACAGTCAGAGGAGTCACAGGAGGAGGAGGAGTCAGAGTCAAAGGAGTCACAGTCAGAGGAGTCACAGGAGGAGGAGGAGTCACAGTCAGAGGAGTCACAGAGGAGTCACAGTCAGAGGAGTCACAGTCAGAGGAGGAGTCACAGTCAGAGGAGGAGTCACAGTCAGGAGTCGTCACAGTCAGAGGAGGAGTCACAGTCAGAGGAGTCACAGAGGAGTCACAGTCAGAGGAGGAGTCACAGTCAGAGGAGGAGTCACAGTCAGAGGAGTCACAGTCAGAGGAGTCGTCACAGTCAGAGGAGGAGTCACAGTCAGAGGAGTCACAGTGGAGTCACAGTCAGAGGAGGAGTCACAGTCAGAGGAGGAGTCAGAGGAGGAGTCACAGTCAGAGGAGGAGTCAGAGGAGGAGTCACAGTCAGGAGTCACAGTCAGAGGAGTCAGAGAGGAGTCACAGTCAGAGGAGGAGTCACAGTCAGAGGAGTCACAGAGGAGTCACAGTCAGAGGAGTCACAGTCAGAGGAGGAGTCACAGTCAGAGGAGTCACAGTCAGAGGAGGAGTCACAGTCAGAGGAGTCGTCACAGTCAGAGGAGGAGTCACAGTCAGAGGAGGAGTCACAGTCAGAGGAGGAGTCACAGTCAGAGGAGTCACAGTGGAGTCACAGTCAGAGGAGGAGTCACAGTCAGAGGAGGAGTCACAGTCAGAGGAGGAGTCACAGTCAGAGGAGGAGTCACAGTCAGAGGAGTCAGTCACAGAGGAGTCACAGTCAGAGGAGGAGTCACAGTCAGAGGAGTCACAGTCAGAGGAGGAGTCACAGTCAGAGGAGGAGTCAGAGGAGGAGTCACAGTCAGAGGAGGAGTCAGAGGAGTCAGAGTCAGAGAAGGAGTCACAGTCAGAGAAGGAGTCACAGTCAGAGGAGGAGTCACAGTCAGAGGAGGAGTACACAGTCAGAGGAGGAGTCACAGTCAGAGGAGGAGTCACAGTCAGAGGAGGAGTCAGAGGAGGAGTCACAGTCAGAGGAGGAGTCAGACAGTCAGAGGAGTCACAGTCAGAGGAGTCACAGTCAGAGGAGGAGTCACAGTCAGAGGAGGAGTCAGAGGAGTCACAGTCAGAGGAGGAGTCACAGTCAGAGGAGGAGTCACAGTCAGAGGAGGAGTCAGAGTCAGAGGAGGAGTCAGAGGAGGAGTCACAGTCAGAGGAGGAGTCACAGTCAGAGGAGGAGTCAGAGGAGTCACAGTCAGAGGAGGAGTCAGAGTCAGAGGAGTCACAGTCAGAGGAGTCACAGTCAGAGGAGGAGTCACAGTCAGAGGAGTCACAATCAGGAGTCACAGTCAGAGGAGTCACAGTCAGAGGAGGAGTCACAGTCAGAGGAGGAGTCAGAGGAGTCACAGTCAGGAGTCACAGTCAGAGGAGGAGTCACAGTCAGAGGAGTCAGAGGAGTCACAGTCAGAGGAGGAGTCACAGTCAGAGGAGTCAGAGGAGTCACAGTCAGAGGAGGAGTCACAGTCAGAGGAGTCAGAGGAGTCACAGTCAGAGGAGTCACAGTCAGAGGAGTCACAGTCAGAGGAGTCACAGTCAGAGGAGTCACAGTCAGAGGAGGAGTCACAGTCAGAGGAGGAGTCACAGTCAGAGGAGTCAGAGGAGTCACAGTCAGAGGAGGAGTCACAGTCAGAGGAGTCAGAGGAGTCACAGTCAGAGGAGGAGTCACAGTCAGAGGAGTCAGAGGAGTCACAGTCAGAGGAGGAGTCACAGTCAGAGGAGTCAGAGGAGTCACAGTCAGAGGAGGAGTCACAGTCAGAGGAGTCAGAGGAGTCACAGTCAGAGGAGTCACAGTCAGAGGAGGAGTCACAGTCAGAGGAGTCACAGTCAGAGGAGGAGTCACAGTCAGAGGAGTCACAGTCAGAGGAGTCACAGTCAGAGGAGGAGTCACAGTCAGAGGAGGAGTCACAGTGGTCTCTCTGCTACATTAAACATGAGGCTTATATTCAGCTGCGTCTTATAGTCCAGAACGTCTGGTAATAATATAATTAATAAAACAAAGACTGACCGGAGGGAGACATGAACTCTGCGTTGGCTTTGCAGACCACCTGCACCGGGAGCCCACACATGCGGAGGTACGCCTGAGCACAGGGACGGGGACGTTATAGTCTGTTCATTGCTATTCACTCCCTGTCCCATGGCGTGATGATGGGACCCCTGAACCCGGCCCCATTTCTATATAGAGCCTCACCTGAACTGCGAGCGAGGAGGCGCAGTCTGACAGCAAGATCTGCTCATCTGAGAGATCAAAGAGAGATCAAACGTCAGAGGGAGATCAAAGAGAGAGAGAACACAGGTCAGAGTCAGATCAAAGAGAGAGAGAACACAGGTCAGAGAGGGATCAAAGAGAGAGAGAACACAGGTCAGAGAGGGATCAAAGAGAGAGAACACAGGTCAGAGAGGGATCAAAGAGAGAGAACACAGGTCAGAGAGGGATCAAAGAGAGAGAACACAGGTCAGAGAGGGATCAAAGAGAGAACACAGGTCAGAGAGGGATCAAAGAGAGAGAGAACACAGGTCAGAGAGGGATCAAAGAGAGAGAACACAGGTCAGAGAGGGATCAAAGAGAGAGAACACAGGTCAGAGAGGGATCAAAGAGAGAACACAGGTCAGAGAGGGATCAAAGAGAGAGAGAACACAGGTCAGAGAGGGATCAAAGAGAGAGAACACAGGTCAGAGAGAGAACACAGGTCAGAGAGGGATCAAAGAGAGAGAACACAGGTCAGAGAGGGATCAAAAGAGAGAACACAGGTCAGAGAGGGATCAAGAGAGAACACAGGTCAGAGAGGGATCAAAGAGAGAGAGAACACAGGTCAGAGAGGGATCAAGAGAGAGACACAGTCAGAGAGAGAACACAGGTCAGAGAGGGATCAAAGAGAGAGAACACGGTCAGAGAGATCAAGAGAGAGAACACAGGTCAGAGAGGGATCAAAGAGAGAGAACACAGGTCAGAGAGGGATCAAAGAGAGAGAGAACACAGGTCAGAGAGGGATCAAAGAGAGAGAACACAGGTCAGAGAGAGAACACAGAGAGAGAACACAGGTCAGAGAGGGATCAAAGAGAGAGAACACAGGTCAGAGAGGGATCAAAGAGAGAGAACACAGGTCAGAGTCAGATCAAAGAGAGAGAGAACACAGGTCAGAGTCAGATCAAAGAGAGAGAACACAGGTCAGAGTCAGATCAAAGAGAGAGAACACAGGTCAGAGTCAGATCAAAGAGAGAGAGAACACAGGTCAGAGTCAGATCAAAGAGAGAGAGAACACAGGTCAGAGTCAGATCAAAGAGAGAGAACACAGGTCAGAGTCAGATCAAAGAGAGAGAGAACACAGGTCAGAGAGGGATCAAAGAGAGAGAACACAGGTCAGAGAGGGATCAAAGAGAGAGAACACAGGTCAGAGAGGGATCAAAGAGAGAGAACACAGGTCAGAGAGGGATCAAAGAGAGAGAACACAGGTCAGAGAGGGATCAAAGAGAGAGAACACAGGTCAGAGAGGGATCAAAGAGAGAGAACACAGGTCAGAGAGGGATCAAAGAGAGAGAACACAGGTCAGAGAGGGATCAAAGAGAGAGAACACAGAGAGAGAACACAGAGAGAGAACACAGAGAGAGAACACACAGAGAGAGAACACAGAGAGAGAGAGAACACAGAGAGAGAACACAGAGAGAGAACACAGAGAGAGAACACAGAGAGAGAACACAGAGAGAGAACACAGAGAGAGAACACAGAGAGAGAACACAGAGAGAGAACACAGAGAGAGAACACAGAGAGAGAACACAGAGAGAGAACACAGAGAGAGAACACAGAGAGAGAACACAGAGAGAGAACACAGAGAGAGAACACAGAGAGAGAACACAGAGAGAGAACACAGAGAGAGAACACAGAGAGAGAACACAGGTCAGAGAGAGAGAACACAGAGAGAGAACACAGAGAGAGAACACAGAGAGAGAACACAGAGAGAGAACACAGAGAGAGAACACAGGTCAGACTGAAACCTCACCCTTCAGAGGCTGATACAGGGCGGCAGTCTCTGGCCAGGGCTCTGCAGCTGTTCACACAACAAATGACACATACAACACACACACACACACAACATATGACACACACACAGACACACACGTTAAACACGGAGAAGCACTTGTGACCAGCACTGACACTCACCTAAAATACACACACTTATACAGAGATGGACTTGGTCACTGTTGAAGTCACAGATTGTAATATTATAATTATTTTCACACATCCTGCTGTTAAGAAAACCACAAACATTTTTCTGAAAAGAGCTTTAGAAAGTGTTCAGACGAAACATAACCGTGAACTAGCTTCACTTTGATGATGCTAACTGTGGTGGACACTGGTTGCTGTTAGCAACAAGCACAAAGTCTTACGTTTTAAACATTGTCTATTTCCCCAAAACCGCAGCTTTAATACGTGCAAATAATAATGTTTTACTTCTTTACTTTGAACCTACTCTTGTTTGTGCACTTGTCTGCGGCTACTACTGAAATGTATTGGTGCATTGTATCGAGTATAATCTCTTCTTCTTAAAGGATCTAAGTGATCATAAAAATGCATTTGTTTTATACAAAGCTTTTCTGGACTCTTCACATCATTATTCTCTCACACCAAACGCAGTGGTGACAAAGTACTACTGTAGCCACAGCTGCCCTGGGGCACACTGACAGAAGCCCCTCCCACCACCACCAACCATCCACACACACACCAGACTCTAATGTGGGGGAAGTGTCTTGCCTAAGGACACAACCACAGTTTGGCACTTTACAGCCGGCCCACTGTGGCACCTGCTGTTCCCAGAGGTCTCCCATCACAGTACTAACCAGGCCCTGCCCTGCTTAGCTTCAGAGGTCTGAGGGATCTGGCTTTCACCTGCAGTTATGAATACAATCCTTATAATGCTATGATTCCATTTCTTTATTGAGGAAAGAGAATTCATTAATCAACCTTTAAATGTCCTTATTTCGTGTATAATCATTATAAAGATACTGTTGTAGCCTCCGCTGTCCACTAGAGGGCGCGCCAAACACAGCAGGGACAATAGCGCAAAATAACAAAATATATAACTATTTTTTGTAGTTCCAAGAATCCTACAAATACATGTGGATGTAGTGAAGCAGAGCACTGTGTGTCACAAAACAGTTCAATTCATTATCTGAATGAAAGATCTGAACATGTTTTAATTTTAAGAAAAACATTAAAAACATTAAAAACAAAGGCTTATAAAAACAGTAGCAGAACATCAGATAAACCCCGTGGGAACCTGTGCTGTGTGTACTGTGGATGGCTCAGAGGTGTTGGCTTGATGACACCTCTACATTAACGTTAACATTAGTATTTCACATGTTAGCAGTTAGCATGACCTGTTAGCATCCGTGTGTTTACCTGCCATCTGGGACACGAACGCCTCCGCAGCCAGAGACATGCTGCTGACTCTAAACACGAATATACAGAGATAATAAAGATTCACTGAGCTAAAGTGAGCATATCACAGACAAGTGTAGGACAAGCAGAGTGTGCGCCGTCGAAATGTGTCGAAACACGGAGCTACAGTGGAAGGTTCCGCCTGTGCGTTCATACAGCAATCGTCTTGGCCACATCCGAATTCAGTCCTCCACCTCCTTATCGCCTTTTGTTAATTCAAATAAACTTAAGAGACAAAGCAGCTCCAAGTTTGGTCTATAACAAACACCGTCTATAACAAAGACTAGATTTGGTCTCAGGACTGCCTCAGTCCTGGGTCTACGGCCTCAGTCTTGGGTCTACGGCCTCAGTCTTGGGTCTACAGCCTCAGTCTTGGGTCTACAGCCTCAGTCCTGGGTCTACAGCCTCAGTCTTGGGTCTACAGCCTCAGTCCTGGGTCTACGGCCTCAGTCCTGGGTCTGCAGCCTCAGTCCTGGGTCTACAGCCTCAGTCCTGGGTCTACAGCCTCAGTCCTGGGTCTGCAGCCTCAGTCCTGGGTCTGCAGCCTCAGTCCTGGGTCTACAGCCTCAGTCCTGGGTCTACAGCCTCAGTCCTGGGTCTGCAGCCTCAGTCCTGGGTCTACAGCCTCAGTCCTGGGTCTACAGCCTCAGTCCTGGGTCTGCAGCCTCAGTCCTGGGTCTGCAGCCTCAGTCCTGGGTCTACAGCCTCAGTCCTGGGTCTACAGCCTCAGTCTTGGGTCTACGGCCTCAGTCTTGGGTCTACAGCCTCAGTCCTGGGTCTACAGCCTCAGTCCTGGGTCTACGGCCTCAGTCCTGGGTCTACAGCCTCAGTCCTGGGTCTACAGCCTCAGTCCTGGGTCTACAGCCTCAGTCTGGGTCTACAGCCTCAGTCCTGGGTCTACAGCCTCAGTCCTGGGTCTACAGCCTCAGTCCTGGGTCTACAGCCTCAGTCCTGGGTCTACAGCCTCAGTCCTGGGTCTACGGCCTCAGTCCTGGGTCTGCAGCCTCAGTCCTGGGTCTGCAGCCTCAGTCCTGGGTCTACAGCCTCAGTCCTGGGTCTACAGCCTCAGTCCTGGGTCTACAGCCTCAGTCCTGGGTCTGCAGCCTCAGTCCTGGGTCTGCAGCCTCAGTCCTGGGTCTACAGCCTCAGTCCTGGGTCTACGGCCTCAGTCCTGGGTCTACAGCCTCAGTCCTGGGTCTACAGTCTCAGTCCTGGGTCTGCAGCCTCAGTCCTGGGTCTACAGCCTCAGTCTTGGGTCTACGGCCTCAGTCCTGGGTCTACAGCCTCAGTCCTGGGTCTACAGCCTCAGTCCTGGGTCTACAGCCTCAGTCCTGGGTCTACAGCCTCAGTCCTGGGTCTACAGCCTCAGTCCTGGGTCTACAGCCTCAGTCCTGGGTCTACAGCCTCAGTCCTGGGTCTACAGCCTCAGTCTGGGTCTACAGCCTCAGTCCTGGGTCTACGGCCTCAGTCCTGGGTCTACGGCCTCAGTCTTGGGTCTACAGCCTCAGTCTTGGGTCTACGGCCTCAGTCCTGGGTCTACAGCCTCAGTCCTGGGTCTACAGCCTCAGTCCTGGGTCTACGGCCTCAGTCCTGGGTCTACGGCCTCAGTCCTGGGTCTACGGCCTCAGTCCTGGGTCTACAGCCTCAGTCCTGGATCTACAGCCTCAGTCTTGGGTCTACAGCCTCAGTCCTGGGTCTACGGCCTCAGTCCTGGGTCTACGGCCTCAGTCCTGGGTCTACAGCCTCAGTCCTGGGTCTACAGCCTCAGTCCTGGGTCTACGGCCTCAGTCCTGGGTCTGCAGCCTCAGTCCTGGGTCTACGGCCTCAGTCCTGGGTCTACAGCCTCAGTCCTGGGTCTACAGCCTCAGTCCTGGGTCTACAGCCTCAGTCCTGGGTCTACGGCCTCAGTCCTGGGTCTGCGGCCTCAGTCCTGGGTTCACAGTCTCAGTCCTGGGTCTACGGCCTCAGTCCTGGGTCTACGGCCTCAGTCCTGGGTCTGCAGCCTCAGTCCTGGGTCTACAGCCTCAGTCCTGGGTCTACGGCCTCAGTCCTGGGTCTACAGCCTCAGTCCTGGGTCTACGGCCTCAGTCCTGGGTCTACGGCCTCAGTCCTGGGTCTACAGCCTCAGTCCTGGGTTCACAGTCTCAGTCCTGGGTCTACGGCCTCAGTCCTGGGTCTACGGCCTCAGTCCTGGGTCTACAGCCTCAGTCCTGGGTTCACAGTCTCAGTGAACCCACTGAGAATTTGAACAGAAACCAAATTTCCAAGTGATGACACAGGCTGTAATGCGGCGTTTCACCCGCAGGTGGCGCACTGGTGTTTGCAGAAGCCACATTCCAATGCACTGCTGCTGACTCCATCTGTGCGCGTTTATGTCCAATCTGCACAACCTACATCCGGATACACACACAGAGTCATGCATACACACACTTACACATATACACACACACACACACACACACACACACACACACACACACACACACACACTCACACACACACACACACACACACAAAACATACACTCTATACATACACACACACACACACACACACACACACATACACATACACATACACACACACACACACACACACACACACACACATACACATACACACATACACGTTTTTGTTACCTGGTGGGTCCCTTTGACAGGGCCGTTCAGAATGGGACCCATAGACATAATCTTTTTTTACCAAGACTTTAAGTAATACAAAACAGTCAATAGAAACCAAACAACTATTTTAAAGGAATTTTATTTTAGATTTTGTTTTCGAATTGCAGTGATTCTATTTTTGACATAGAATTTAATGCCACTCCATGTCCGATGTCTAAGGTCATCTGGTGAGGCATTAATGCAGGCCAGGCCAGGCCAGGCCAGGCAGTGAGACTTCCCAGGGACCTTTCCAGTCTGTATGAAAGGTGTCATGGTCTTCTCCACAGCCTTCACCTCAGATGCAGACCATGGCTTTCTCTAACGTTCTAGGGAGAGAAATAAAAATATATTAGCAATATACACTCCCAGGGTGAGGACCAAGCAGCCTGGCTGTAATCCCCCACCTGGTACACTTACCAGAAGGGGCACTGCCACTACCATGGGGTGCATCTGGATGAATGGTTGAAGGTTCTCCGCTTGAAGTTTCTTTTAGCCCGTCCGTTTGTGAGAGGATCTCTACTGCTCTCCCTGTCGCACAGAAAATAAAAATACAAGTGGCCTTTAGGGGAAAAAAATCATACATATTTTAATAATATCAAGAATTACCTTCAGGCTCAATTTGTATCTGGTCGAGGCTCTTTCCTTCGAATTCCGTCACTCTTCCCTGCTCCATGGCCATCAACACTTTGCTGATTTTGGCCAGCTCCAGTGTCCCCTCTGGTAGTCTGTAATATTGCCTGTGGATGCGAATGTCATGGCCGAGGAAGTTGGCAAGTATGTCCATCTCATTCTCTTTCATATTGAGAACTGTAGACATAGTAGCTATGTGCTTTCTAAGTTTGGTTGAGGATAGCATCTCTGGATGCACCGCACCACATTCTTTGGCTACCTGGCGTAGGGAGTCTGATCCCCTGATGTGGGTGTCTGCGCCCGGGCGGGAAAAGAAGTATGGGTTATGGTCAGAGATGGAACAGGCCCTTCTGTTCTCCACCAGCACCTCCATCGAAGCAATCATTTCAGGAGTCAAAAGAACCGGCACTTTCCGACTTCTTTTCCCTTTAATTTCAATGCGTTGAAAATGCTGACACAGCTTTTTCTCAAGTTGGGACAGTCCCAGAGCAATGTCAGAATGGATCCCAGTCTTACTTCTTAAGGTAAAGGCTGTCAGTGGCATCTTTGAAACCTCACCTTCCCTTCTTCGATTGAAAATGATGACCTCACAAAGAGTCAAAACTGCCAGTTTAGACCAATGCTTAGACGTTGGCTCACTTATTAGGGTTTGCACATATTCAGGTCGACATACCTCAATATGTGCATGCATGGCTCTAACGTCCTCAGTCAGAGGGAGCAGGTCCGGAGTGTTCCACTTGGCTTGCCGGAGGGTCTGTAGGGCAGCAGAAGAAACACAGACGTCCCACCTCTTCTCAAAAAGCAGCCGGCTTCGTTGGAGGTTTTTAATAAATAGTTCATCAACACAATGCTCCATTTTTGAGTCACATTCAAGAATATCTGCTAGCTTTCTGAGGCTATGGCCGAGTTTGAGGGCCAAGGATGGAGTCTTGTATTGATTTGTTTCCTCATCATATCCAGCCACAGACCTGACTGCATCAATCACATGGTTAAAGTTGGAAGGAATAAAGAAATCCTTAATTGTTTTCAGTTTCCCTGCGGTTTTTGCTTCGTTAATTAACCTACCGACTTCTCTCATTTTCTGCCTAATGTAATCATGCTTTGTCTTATCATGCCCGTGTTTTAAGTACAGGTGCTCTCCGAGTCTCAGAATCCCCTTTTCTGCTTTGACAACACCCGTGACCTCATCCTGATGCATTGCCGAAATTAAAGACCACAGCTTTTTGCTGATGCCCTCCGGTACAGGCTGGGCTAGGGAGCAGAGGGACTGGACCCTACTTCTACCTGGTTTAGCCTGGGCATCTTTCTGTGAAAGCCGGCACCTGGCCACATGCCTCCACAGCGACTTTCGCTTAAGCAATGCCCCACAGTCTATACAGTGCAAAAACTCACTGGATTTAACTGGGGAATTTGGCTGTTTAGCTGGGACTAAAGTTCCAATGCCGGCCTTTAAAACCTCAACATTGTGCTCACGGTTTCCACTATTCCTGATCAAATCAAACTGAAGTTTACGTGCTTTAGATTTCACAGGTAGAGCCAATGCTCTGGCTACGTCACTTTCATTTCCATGTTTTCTAGTCAAATGACGGGACATTTTGTGGCAGGACATTGAACAGTAGAGGCAGAAGTGTCTCTTGCTGTATACTCGCCCCCCATTTTTCTTCTTTTGCAGCTGCATGATAACAATCTTATTTGCCTTTGGTTCGTCACTTTCCGAGTCTTGAAGAAAAGTGTTTTTGATTTTTCTTTTTCCATACTTTTTTACAGGTTTCTTCTTGACAGTTAAATCGTCAGAATCTGAGTCGACTTCATCAATTAGGGACTCTTGACTAAGCTGCACAAACAACAAATAATTTGTAATCATTCTATATAACAATTTGAAGTCATGACTTGTAGTCAGCACTTACCAGTGGTTTGTAAGCGTGCGCTTCAGTGTGCTGCTCTGTGATTGGCTGCAGCCTAATGAACCACACACTTGCACCTTTTCTAGCCTGACACCTGATTTCCTCTGTTGTGCTGCTCCATGATTGGCTCCAGCCTGCTGGACTGAAATTGCCCCAGTGTGCCCCTCCTTGATATCCCGCAACCCACCACCAGGGTTCCGACACATAACACACTTTTTTCAGGAAAGTAAACCTCCAGGGGTCCTTTCCATATTTTTACAGAGACTGCATAAGGACCGTTAGAAAAGCATTACCCATTGATTATTAAGCTTGGACCAGTGGGGTCCGGTGTTCGGGCCCCACCACGTAAAACCAGTCCCCATGACGTGAGTGGAATCTCAGGTTATGGAACCCACCAGGAGTTGAAAACAAGTGCACACACACACACACACACACACACACACACACACACACACACACACACACACACACACCTTCTCCTGTAGTTTGTCTTTCTAATGAAACTCTCTGTTGTCGTATCGACCGCTCCCTGTGGCTCTGCAGATATGTCTCTGTCAGCGCTGCCACGCTCCAGACATCAGCTCTGCACCGTGACTGACCACACTGACCACACTGACCTCACTGACCTCACTGACCTCACTGACCACACTGACCTCACTGACCACACTGACCACACTGACCTCACTGACCTCACTGACCTCACTGACCTCACTGACCTCACTGACCTCACTGACCACACTGACCTCACTGACCACACTGACCTCACTGACCACACTGACCTCACTGACCACACTGACCACACTGACCTCACTGACCTCACTGACCTCACTGACCTCACTGACCTCACTGACCTCACTGACCACACTGACCTCACTGACCACACTGACCACACTGACCTCACTGACCTCACTGACCACACTGACCACACTGACCTCACTGACCACACTGACCACACTGACCTCACTGACCACACTGACCTCACTGACCACACTGACCTCACTGACCACACTGACCACACTGACCTCACTGACCTCACTGACCTCACTGACCTCACTGACCTCACTGACCACACTGACCTCACTGACCTCACTGACCACACTGACCTCACTGACCTCACTGACCTCACTGACCTCACTGACCCTGACCACACTGACCTCACTGACTTCACTGACCTCACTGACCTCACTGACCCTGACCACACTGACCTCACTGACCTCACTGACCACACTGACCTCACTGACCTCACTGACCTCTGACCTCACTGACCTCACTGACCTCACTGACCTCACTGACCACACTGACCACACTGACCTCACTGACCTCACTGACCTCACTGACCTCACTGACCACACTGACCACACTGACCACACTGACCTCACTGACCACACTGACCTCACTGACCACACTGACCTCACTGACCTCACTGACCTCACTGACCTCACTGACCTCACTGACCCACTGACCCACTGACCTCACTGACCTCACTGACCTCACTGACCTCACTGACCTCACTGACCTCACTGACCTCACTGACCTCACTGACCTCACTGACCTCACTGACCTCACTGACCTCACTGACCTCACTGACCCACTGACCTCACTGACCTCACTACTGACACACTGACCTCACTGACCTCACTGACCTCACTGACCTCACTGACCTCACTGACCTCACTGACCACACTGACCTCACTGACCTCACTGACCCACTGACCACTGACCTCACTGACCTCACTGACCCTGACCTCACTGACCACACTGACCTCACTGACCTCACTGACCACACTGACCTCACTGACCTCACTGACCACACTGACCTCACTGACCACACTGACCACACTGACTCACTGACCGACACTGACCACTGACTGACCTCACTGACCTCACTGACCACACTGACCTCACTGACCACACTGACCTCACTGACCTCACTGACCTCACTGACCTCACTGACCACACTGACCTCACTGACCTCACTGACCTCACTGACCTCACTGACCACACTGACCGACACTGACCTCACTGACCTCACTGACCTCACTGACCTCACTGACCTCACTGACCTCACTGACCTCACTGACCTCACTGACACTGACCCACTGACCTCACTGACCACACTGACCTCACTGACCTCACTGACCTCACTGACCTCACTGACCCACTGACCACACTGACCACACTGACCACACTGACCACACTGACCTCACTGACCACACTGACCTCACTGACCTCACTGACCTCACTGACCTCACTGACCTCACTGACCTCACTGACCACACTGACCTCACTGACCTCACTGACTGACCTCACTGACCTCACTGACCTCACTGACCTCACTGACCTCACTGACCTCACTGACCTCACTGACCTCACTGACCTCACTGACCTCACTGACCTCACTGACCTCACTGACCTCACTGACCTCACTGACCTCACTGACCTCACTGACCTCACTGACCTCACTGACCTCACTGACCTCACTGACCTCACTGACCTCACTGACCTCACTGACCTCACTGACCTCACTGACCTCACTGACCTCACTGACCTCACTGACCTCACTGACCTCACTGACCTCACTGACCTCACTGACCTCACTGACCTCACTGACCTCACTGACCTCACTGACCTCTGACTGACCTCACTGACCTCACTGACCTCACTGACCTCACTGACCCATGACCTCACTGACCTCACTGACCTCACTGACCTCACTGCATGACCTCACTGACCCTGACCTCACTGACCACACTGACCTCACTGACCTCACTGACCTCACTGACCTCACTGACCTCACTGACCTCACTGACCTCACTGACCTCACTGACCTCACTGACCTCACTGACCTCACTGACCTCCACTGACCTCACTGACCTCACTGACCACACTGACCTCACTGACCTCACTGACCTCACTGACCTCACTGACCTCACTGACCTCACTGACCTCACTGACCTCACTGACCTCACTGACCTCACTGACCTCACTGACCTCACTGACCTCACTGACCTCACTGACCTCACTGACCTCACTGACCTCACCTGACCACTGACCTCACTGACCTCACTGACCTCACTGACCTCACTGACCTCACTGACCTCACTGACCTCACTGACCACTCACCCACTGACCACACTGACCACACTGACCTCACTGACCTCACTGACCACACTGACCACACTGACCTCACTGACCACACTGACCTCACTGACCACACTGACCACACTGACCTCACTGACCACACTGACCTCACTGACCACACTGACCTCACTGACCACACTGACCTCACTGACCACACTGACCTCACTGACCACACTGACTGACCTCACTGACCACACTGACCACACTGACCTCACTGACCTCACTGACCTCACTGACCTCACTGACCTCACTGACCTCACTGACCACACTGACCACACTGACCACACTGACCCACACTGACCTCACTGACCACACTGACCTCACTGACCTCACTGACCTCACTGACCTCACTGACCACACTGACCTCACTGCTCCTGACCACACTGACCTCACTGACCACACTGACCTCACTGACCACACTGACCTCACTGACCTCACTGACCTCACACTCACCTCACTGACCTCACTGACCTCACTGACCTCACTGACCACACTGACCTCACTGACCTCACTGACCTCACTGACTCACTGACCTCACTGACCTCACTGACCTCCTGACCTCACTGACCACACTGACCACACTGACCTCACTGACCACACTGACCTCACTGACCACACTGACCACACTGACCTCACTGACCTCACTGACCTCACTGACCACACTGACCACACTGACCTCACTGACCTCACTGACCACACTGACCTCACTGACCACACTGACCTCACTGACCACACTGACCTCACTGACCTCACTGACCTCACTGACCTCACTGACCACACTGACCACACTGACCTCACTGACCACACTGACCTCACTGACCACACTGACCTCACTGACCTCACTGACCACACTGACCTCACTGACCACACTGACCACACTGACCTCACTGACCTCACTGACCTCACTGACCTCACTGACCACACTGACCTCACTGACCTCACTGACCTCACTGACCTCACTGACCTCACTGACCTCACTGACCACACTGACCTCACTGACCACACTGACCACACTGACCACACTGACCTCACTGACCTCACTGACCTCACTGACCTCACTGACCTCACTGACCTCACTGACCTCACTGACCACACTGACCTCACTGACCTCACTGACCTCACTGACCACACTGACCTCACTGACCACACTGACCACACTGACCACACTGACCTCACTGACCTCACTGACCACACTGCCCTTGTCCTGCCGCAGTCAGTGCGTCTGAATGTGCAATAAGTGCAATACAGAAGCACGTGTCACTGTCTCTGGAGCCACGTGCTAAATGTACAGATGTAAACACAGCTGAATCTTCATGCACTAGAATATACAGGGTTCACATGGTGTCTACGTCCCTTTCATGGTTTCCTCGCCCACCTGGTACATCACCATCTGAGTCTCGATCTCCACTTGAAGCTTGGAACTGAAATCTCACTTGGTTTTAGGAACTTTGCCATAAAACTGCACCCAACCATTTGGTAAAGGCCTGAAATGAAACACAAAGGGGAAAATAACGTCCCTACATAAATCCGAGAAAGAGTGAATTTTAAAGGGGTATGCTATGCTATGCTATGCTATGCTAACGTTACAGATGTGATTTTACTATAGAGTTATTGTTCATTTTCTCCCGCTGTGCTCCTCTGGTCTGTAACTGCTGCTGCAACACTGACAATTCACTGAGAGTAAAGGATGTTTCCCGTTTAATGACACTGACACGATCTTAATGAATCTGTTTTTGGTCCGTGTTGAGTGCGCTGTCAAAACAAAACATTGTAAAATAATAATAATAATAATAATAATAATAATAATGATAATGATAATGATAATGATAATGATAATAATAATAATAATATAATAATAATAAAAATAATAATAATAATGATAATAATAATGGCGGCACGGTGGCTGAGTGGATAGCACTCTCGCCTCTCAGCAAGAAGGTCCTGGGTTCGAATCCCGGTCAGACCAGGGCCTTTCTGAGTGGAGTTTGCATGTTCTCCCCGTGTCTGCGTAGGTTTCCTCCAGGTGCTCCGGTTTCCCCTACCTCTAAAAATATGTCCAATAGTTCTGGCATGCGCCTCCTGTACCGGCCCCGCTTACTTACTTACTTACTTACTAATAATAATGATAATAATAATAATAATAATAATAATGATAATAATAATAATAATAATGTGCGTAATGAGAGCCTAAGATTTGAAAAATCGCGAATCAATTTGTATCTGAAAAAAAAAATTGAAGTTGAAACTGTCATTTCCTAAACAGAGCTGCTGACTCCTCCTCCTCCTCCTCCTCCTCCTCCGCCTCCCCCTCCCCCCCCTCCCCCTCCCCCTCCCCTTCCTCCTCCTCCTCCTCCTCCTCCTCCTCCCCCTCCCCCTCCCCCTCCTCCTCCTCCTCCTCTTCTTCATGTGAGATCATTTAAAAAGCCTGGAGAACCTGCGGAGTGTCGGCAGTTCCTTCCCCGCTTCCGTCATCCATCCATCCTCGAGGCCCCCGTGAATTAGGCCCCGGACATAGATCTATTATGGTACAGATGCTCACTCTTGGCTAAAGGCTAGAACCCCCACCTCTGGATCAATACGACCCCAGCGCCAGCTCAAAACCAGAAAAATCCAAAAGAAACCGCTTGTTTCTGGTTTTGTTTTTATCACAATGTTCATTTTTATTGTTTCATCTAGTATCAAAAACATTTCCACATATAAAATCTGCTCCAACAAAACAACAATGACGCGTACTAGAATAACCCTGGTAAAATATAAGTCTAATATAAGAACATAATAAGTACTGGCGTGGACTACATCACACAGAGCTCAGACGGAGCGCGCGCGGCTGCTGAGACGGAGGGGCCCGTCTCTGTAAACGTCAGGAAGGAATCAGCCCTGAGAAGGATGTGGACTAGGCTCCAGAGGCCCCAGAGGCTCCAGAGGGCCCAGAGGCCCCAGAGGCCCCAGAGGCCCCAGAGGCCCCAGAGGCCCCAGAGGCCCCAGAGGCCCCAGAGGCCCCAGAGGCTCCAGAGGCCCCAGAGGCCCCAGAGGCCCCAGAGGCCCCAGAGGCCCCAGAGGCTCCAGAGGCTCCAGAGGCCCCAGAGGCTCCAGAGGCTCCAGAGGCTCCGGAGGCCCCAGAGGCTCCAGAGGCCCCAGAGGCCCCAGAGGCGCCAGAGGCCCCAGAGGCTCCAGAGGCCCCAGAGGCCCCAGAGGCTCCGGAGGCTCCAGAGGCCCCAGAGGTTCCAGAGGCCCCAGAGGCTCCAGAGGCTCCAGAGGCTCCAGAGGCTCCAGAGGCCCCAGAGGCCCCAGAGGCTCCGGAGGCTCCAGAGGCTCCAGAGGCTCCAGAGGCCCCAGAGGCTCCAGAGGCTCCAGAGGCCCCAGAGGCTCCAGAGGCCCCAGAGGCCCCAGAGGCTCCAGAGGCTCCAGAGGCCCCAGAGGCCCCAGAGGCTCCAGAGGCCCCAGAGGCCCCAGAGGCCCCAGAGGCTTACGTCGTCACATCTCGTGCGTAAAGGGTCCAAAGGGAAGCTGGAGGCTGAATGAGCGTTGGTGAGGAACATAAATAGTCTCTGTACATTTGGCGCGCTCTCGTCTCGTTCGCTGCTGTTCTTTGTTTAGGCATAAATACTAAATATAGGTAGTGTATAGAAAACCCTGTGCTGTTCTTTTTACCCTGTAGAAATCAAAACCCTGTTTAGTCCAACATTCCATTCTCCACGTGACGGGAGTTTGGAGAATCCACTTTTTGGCCTTTGAGTTGGTGAATGTTCGTTTAGATTTGGACCATATTCTGCAAGTTTAAGAAACATGAGAAATGGTCAAATCTAACTTAAAGGTGAACAGGAGGATTTTGCAACATTTTAGGTCCAAATTTGACCAAAACTCTCTGGTCTTATTGGACGACGTATATCACCAGAAGTGGGAGGAGCAATAGTCTTGAGGATCCACCCGGAAGTAGAAAGTCCTCCTGTATACCTTTAATGTCTCACGTGTCATTTGATCTGCACACACTGCAAAAACATACGTCTAGACTTCAGTCACTTCGGTCTCAGTGACTTCAGTCTCAGTCTTCGGTCTCAGTCTTCAGTCTCAGTCTTCGGTCTCAGTGACTTCAGTCTCAGTCTTCGGTCTCAGTCTTCAGTCTCAGTCTTCGGTCTCAGTCTTCAGTCTCAGTCTTCGGTCTCAGTCACTTCGGTCTCGGTCACTTCAGTCTCAGTCACTTCGGTCTTGGTCACTTCGGTTTCGGTCACTTCGGTCTCAGTCACTTCGGTCTCAGTCTCCGGTCTCGGTCTCTTCAGTCTCTGTCTCTTCGGTCTCATATGTCTCACGTGACCTCGTCCAGAAACTTGCTTGTGTTTTTGCAGTGTAAATGAAAGACGTTCATGAAATCAAACTTAAGGCTAAATATAAAGACACGTAAATGCAAAACGTAAAAGTAACAGTTTTCAAAAGTCTCTGCCGCGGCCTCCAGAGGCTGCACTGCGCATGTGCTGAAATGACTGAAATGCATCAGGATAAATGTAGTTTTATAAGAGAGTAAAACAGATTTACCAGTGAAACTATAACAATAATGTCTGTGGACCTCGACGATCGTAATGGTTTCTAACGGGTCCAACTGTGTCGATTTCATGTAAATAAATTAGGAATAACCAAAAAAGGCGATTTGTACAAAAAACACATTGGCCATTCTGTCTGTAGCATCAGGACTTTACCTTTTGCTTCAGGGCGGTTTCCATGGAGACAGATAAAACTTGAGGCTAAGGGTTAGGGTTACTGTCTCTTTAACTGCTAAATGTGTATTGTACTTGTGTAGTAGTAATTATAAAACATGAGGATTGTTGTATCCATGCCGTACTCTCCTGAGCCAAAGCAAGTTCAGTTTGTGACTTCCTGTTATTTAATAGAACCTAAAGAAGTTTCGGACCCTCCCTTTAACGGCCGTTGCATAATGTTGCTGGTAAATATTTGTGTTACGCTCAAACCATCTCGGATACAAATGAAAAGTGTCATATTCGAGTCATTTCAGCGCAGACATCAGCGCAGTGTGGCTCAGACCGTGATCACAGCCTTCTCTCTCTCCGCTCCCGGAGCACCCTCTGCTGCTCCTGCTGCCGCTGCTGCTGCCGCTGCTGCTGCTGCCGCCTTCTTCTTGCGGCCCTTGGTGTTGGGCAGCTTGTTGTCCTTCTTCCAGCGCATGCGTCTGTTCTGGAACCACACCTTGACCTGGCGCTCGGACAGGCACAGCGCATGCGCAACCTCCACCCTGCGGCGCCGCGTCAGGTAACGGCTGAAGTGGAACTCTTTCTCCAGCTCCAGGACCTGCTGCCGCGTGTAGGCCGTGCGCAGGCGTTTGGGCTCAGGTCCCACGTGGTTCGGGTTCACTGCACACACAGATTCAGAGTCAGATTATTTAGAAACACGTAAGAGTCCTCCGTGTGCTGCTGACAGAGGTGGGATTAGAGCGGACAGAGTTTAACACGCGTCATCATTAAGTGGTTATTAACTGTGTGTATGTGTGTGTGTGTGTGTGTGTGTGTGTGTGTGTGTGTGTGTGTGTGTGTGTGTGTGTGTGTGTGTGTGTGTGTGTGTGTGTGTGTGTGTGTGTGTGTGTGTGTGTGTGTGTGTGTGTGTGTGTGTGTGTGTGTGTGTATGTGTATGTGTGTGTGCGCGTGTGTGACAGAGAGAGGGAGTTGGAACGGAGCCTAATCTCGTGCGTGAGTGATCTCGACAGAAGCCAAGAGCATTTAAAATAATGTCCAAAGTACAGTATAAAACAACAGACACACATGAAACACACTCATCTCCATGACTACCGCGCGCGCGCGCGTCTCTGGCCTCGTGCGTTGAGTCCAGATGTAAATGATCCGCGTTTAATACAATTCCACTGAGTCTAAAACAATCCGTGTGGGTCTAAATGTAGAACTATAATATACATTAGGATGAACTAAAAAAGGGTAATTTAGAACAAAACATTTTACTTTAGGGTGGTTTCCATGGAGATAGAAATTGGCAAATTTGTCCAAAACTCAAGGTGAATTATGCTGCTGTCTCTTTGCTAAATGTCTATTGTACTTGTGTAAAGTAGTAATTATTTAAAAAATGTGTGAAGATTGTTTTATATATTATTTTCCTCTTGACCCAGCTCCGACCGCGGCGCGTGCCTCTGTCTCATCTTCATCACATTTTCAGATATATTATTTTTTACTCCTCTGCATCAAAGCTAACAACATGGAGATGGAATATTTCACCTTTAAGACTCTTCCGCGTGAGCTGTATATTTATGAATGAAACAACAGGTAGTAATCTGTGACGCTCTTTCTGCCCCACGCATTTTCCATTTAGAAATGAAATCTCAGTTTCAGTAAAATACCTGCAGGAAACACTCATTTTAAGGATCGCCTTTGCACAGATCTGCCTCGGCCCAGTGGAGACAATAGATTTAACCAGAAGCAAAAACAAACAAAGACCTGACCCTTTTTACAGAGGTCAGTGCTCCGTCAGTGCTCCGTCAGTGCTCCGTCAGTGCTCCGTCTGTGCTCCGTCAGTGCTCCGTCTGTGCTTCAGTCTGTGCTTCAGTCTGTGCTTCAGTCTGTGCTTCAGTCTGTGCTCCGTCTGTGCTTCAGTCTGTGCTTCAGTCTGTGCTCCGTCTGTGCTTCAGTCTGTGCTTCAGTCTGTGCTTCAGTCTGTTCCGTGTTTTTCTCTGAACTTTTCATTTCTTTTTGTTGATTTGTGTTTATATAAGACACAACTTCAATGTTATGGTTTCTTCTTTAATGGTTGGCAAATAAACGTCTCCACGGAAACTATAGCCACAAGCAACGTGCATTTTGTATTTTCATTTGCAATAAAGTCTTGGAATTGAAGACATAGGAAATATACAGCCTCCTTAAAGACAATAGGTTTATGTCTAACCCTGACGTGACGGGCCTTCACAAACAGGCCTGTGTGTGTCTGCATTTTACTATTATATTCACTATGCACAACAGCTGACGACACACACACACACACACACACACACACACACACACACACACACACACACACACACATTACTCTACCCCCTCTTTTTACGCTCGCACATTTCAGCCATAACCGTAAAACTTTATGACCCCATAACTCTCGCAGACTTTCACTGAGGCCATAAATAAACCAAACAGCCGCGGAATAGAAATGCAAATTGTGCCGTTAACAGCTCGTCCTCCCGGTGCCGCGGCCCCGCTCCCTCTCACCCTCTCTCCCCCCTGCGTCACCCTTCACTCACCGTGGGCCACATGCACTTTCTTCATCCAGGGATACACCACGATGGGCGGCTTCTCTCTCCCCGCTCTCCTCTGGCCCTGGCCCGGCTTGGCACACGTCATCCAGGCCTGACACTGCACGTACGCGTCATCTTTGCCCCCGGGGTCTGAGTGCGTGAACGCGGGGAAGTCTCTCTGGTGTCCTGCGTGATGCTGGAGGAGAGGCCGAGGCTGAGGCTGAGGCTGAGTCTTTGCCTGTTCCAGCCCCTGCGGTGTCTGCACATAGGCGGCTGGTGACGGCCCGTACGGAGGCGGGGATGGGTGCACGCTGGCTGGGTACCCCCCTCCATAAGCCGCGCTGTCCGGAGGGTTGCTGTAATACCCCCCTTGGTCACTAAAATTACTGTAATCTTCTTCACAAGGCGGGAACTGCGGCTCAGCGTATTTACAGCTCACCACGTACGACTCCATGATTGATTTATAGCGAGGCCAGCACGGGAATACTAATTTTTCTTTCTTTCTCTCCCCTCGCTCTGTCTTTTTCCCCCCTCTGGCATCAAGCCATCCTGCGGCTGTCAAATAGACGGACGGCCGCGCGGGACACGTGACCTCGGGCCTGGCCAATCAGCTGCGCCACTTCGCCTTGTTTATGTCACATGTAATGGGATAATTTGAGGGAAAAATGTTCATTACACGCGACTAATGGAGACGTGGAGCTTGGGACGGGATTGTCTAGTGCTAATGGCGTCTTAAAACGACGCTGGTGGATGTGTGTATATATATGTGTGTGTGTGTGTGTGTGTGTGTTGTGCAGATGCAAACAGAGGAGAGTGACGCATCAGAAAGTGTGATGTGTGCGTAAATCTGAATCTGTGGACTGACGTGCGGTCTCTCAGCGGGGAACAAATGAAATAAACGGGACACGTGCGAGAATATCAGGATTTTATTTAAAACAAAACAGTGGAGAATAAATGAGAGAGGATTGATCACAGAATGATTCAACACAAAACACATCAGACACGCACAGGTATTTTATTTAGAGCAGATTTCAAACAAACGCATATAAAACACACACAAATACACATAAAAACACACACAAACGCATATAATACACACACAAACACACAAAAAAACACAGATACAC